CCCACTCGAATCCAACTCTCTGCTTGACCCCCTTCAGTCTGGATTCTGTGCTGGTCACTCTGTCGAAACTGCTGTGACCAAAGTATCCAACGATTTAATTGCTGCTAAATCTCACGGCCAATACTCTATCCTAATCCTCCCTGATCTTTCTGCCGCCTTTGACACTGTTGATCATTAACAGCTTCTTCACATTCTTCGTAACTTTGGTCTACGGGATACTGCTCTCTCCTGGTGCTCCTCCTACCTCTCCCAGCGCTCCTTCAGTGTTTCTTTCTCTGGCTCTGCCTCTTCTCCCCAACCCCTCTCTGTCGGCGTCCCACAAGGTTCTGTCCTCGGCCCCCTACTGTTCTCTATCTATACTGCCTCCCTTGGCAAACTCATCAGCTCCTTTGGCTTCCAATATCATTTATATGCAGATGACACGCAAATCTACCTGTCCTCCCCTGATCTCTCTCTGCCCACCTTGACTCGTGTTTCTGACTGCCTCTCTGCTATTTCCAACTGGATGGCTACTCACTTCCTTAAACTCAACCTGTCCAAAACAGAACTTCTAGTTTTTCCTCCCTCAAGTGCTGTTACTCCTGTGTCTGTGTCCATCCAAGTCAACGGCGCTACTATCACCTCTCGCAGGCTCGCTGCCTAGGGGTTCTTTTTGATTCTGATCTCTCTTTTACTCCCCATGTCCAATCGATAGCCAAATCCTGTCGCTTCCAACTCAAGAACATAGCGCGCATCCGCCCATATCTAACGCCGGACACGGCTAAGGTGCTGGTTTATGCTGTTGTTCTCTCTCGCCTTGACTACTGCAATCCCCTTCTCACCGGTCTTACATGTTCCCAGCTTGCCCTGCTGCAATCTATAATGAATGCGGCTGCGAGGCTTATTTTCCTGTCCGGTCGCACCTCCCATGCCTCCATGCTCTGTCAGTCCCTGCATTGGCTTCTAGTTAGATATAGGGCCCAATTCAAAATTCTGGCGCTTGCTTACAAATCCCTACATAACGCTGCTCCAACATACCTATCCTCCCTCATACACAAGTATGTCCCGTCGAGACCCCTGCGCTCAGCCCAAGACCTACGCCTATCCTCTGCCCGGATCCCCACCTCTGATGCTCGCCTTCAAAACTTCTCCAGGGCTGCACCTATTCTGTGGAACTCCCTTCCCTCCTCATTCAGACTTTCACCCAGCCTCCACTCCTTTAAAAAATCTTTGAAAACTCACTTCTTCATTAAAGCATATCAATTAAACTGTCAGCAGGTTTCTCATCCCCCACCCCATGACTCCTTTCCTGCAACTGTCAAAATGACCTACCAAGCACTCAATAAACCCTTCTCTAACAAACTTTGTAATTCCCCTACTTTAACCCTTTGTGTCACTATACCTCACTCCCTCTAGCATGTAAGCTCATCGAGCAGGGCCCTCAACCCCCTCTGTTCCTGTACATCCAGTGGTCTGATCTCAATTATGTGTCTGTTAGTCCACCCATTGTACAGCGCTATGGAATTTGTTGGTGCTTTATAAATAATAAAATAATAATAATAATGTATACAAACAAACAGAAAATTGTGTGGAAACATAGTTTCCCTGACAGTGTCGTTATTACTCACTTATGTTGCTAAGCGTGGTGGGCTTTGAGCTGCCTTAGTGCTTTCCCGCCTATACTGCTGTTGCAGAGCCGTGGTAAGATCTCACTTTATGGCTGGAAATAGACCGACGCCGGTCTTGGAAGGAGCGCACCTTGCAACGACCCCGTGAGTGACTACCCGTGACCTTCTTCATGGAAGGAGGAGGAGAAGACCCGGGTAAGCCGGTACGTGACTCCCCTTAGTGCCCCAGTTACAGGGGGAGGAGTGGCAGCCGGTGAAGCCAGTAAGTGAATCCCCTCCGCACCCCTGTTGATTGGTGGGGAGCCGGCAAAAGCCGATATGTGACACTCCTCTGTGCCCCTGTTGATGGGGGGGGAGCTGGCATGTGTGTACACTCTGTGCCCTGCTGACACCATGGGGGGGGGGAGGGCACTGAGCCACGCTGGAGACCCCAGTGGTTGTGTGATCCCCCTTATGTGATACAGACGGTGTACCAGTGTACTCGTCTGTAATCAATGTTTAGCGCGGGAGCCGAAGCAGCCCATTTTTACAAAGAATACCGCAGATCCCCATGAAAAGTGAGGCAGTGTGGGGTCTGTAGTATATCCGGAAAGCATATATAATGATGCCATGGACCCTGGCGGTCGGCTGACCCCCCGGTATGATACAGACGGTGTACAAATGTACCCGTCTGCAGACTCACAATTAGAGCTGGCAAACGCTGTCCAGGACCACCATGGAAGGCAGGTAAGAAACCAAGATGGCGGTCCGACCGGAAGTGATTCACCAGACCATCCACGGTAAGGTGGGAGAGGATTGGCAGCCCTTTTAAAGGGAATTCAAGCCCCTCCCACAACTACAGGCCAAGGCCTTACATCTATGGAAATAAGTTAAGCACAAACAATTAATAAACTGTTAGTATGGTTAGCTCTTAACTAGCATGGTTAGCTCTTAACTAGCATGGTTAGCTCTTAACTAGTATGGCTAGCTCTTAACTAGCATGGTTAGCTCTTAATTAGTTTCTCAACAAGTTTTTGAGAAGTTTTTGTTCCATTACAGAACAATCTTACACCCCACCAACAAGGGAAGTCCACATCCGAAGTCCCTTTTGTGGACTTGTATGTTTTATGGTCGATACCTGTTGATTCTCAAAAAGCAAATTAGCCCACCAACCATTCTCACCATGAATCTAATACCCTTAGTATAAGGTAAAAAAAAAATAATAATTTACCTACATCTGTTACATGAGCTTCCAAGTGCTTGATATCATTTCTAGAATATTTATTACAAATTCTAATCTAATAATCTTCTCATCTATTTCCATGAACCATGTATCAGAGTTCACTGAGATACTGCAAACAAATAATTAGCATATGAACTCATAAACTTAGCTGAACTCTCCCTTTCCATGCATAGTCCATTAGGATGGAAAAAGTCAATTGAGTTCCTTGTTGCTTGGAACGTTACTTAAATAGCTAAATGGTTTATGTATATATTTCTGATTATCTTCATTTTACAAATCTCACATATTTGCCATATGTTCAGATCAGAAGCTTTCTCAATGCATATACATATACAATATAATATTATATAATGTAATATAAAACATAATATAATGATAAGTTTGATGCTCAGCTTTTTATTGAATTGTTTCACATGATTTTTACTTTTATTATAATATGTATTATTCCATAAAAATCATCTGTATATACTCTGTCCAAATAACTGCTGGTTTTATATCCAATTAATGTGAGCCAGAATATAATGTACAAGGCATGATGACCCAAACACCTTTTCTCTGTGTTCTTGAATCTCGACCAAAGAATTGATAGACTATAAACTTCTAAACTCACCTAACCCTTCCTTTGTCAAGAACATCCACTGTGCTGTGAAAATAGATGTTTAGGTTCTGTGTTTAAAATGTATAATTTTATAAAGGAGATTACATAAATGGAAAAGTAAAATATACATTTGTCAACTTTGAAACATAGAATGTGACGGCAGATAAGAACCATTCAGCCCATTTAGTCTGCCCAATTTTATAAATACTTTCATTAGTCCCTGGCCTTATCTTATAGTTTGGTTGTTACTATTTCCCAATTTAATGGTATTCATTTTATCTACCTCGGAAGTATGAAGGGCTGAGTCAACACTTGAACCAAGAGTTGAACAGATTCTACTGATGATGCATTAGCCCACTGAGCAAGGAGTGAAAAGGAGTGTTATAAATTATGGCCATAATAATGCCACATAATGGTCTCTATTGTTTATGAAGACATCACTATGGTAAGGTTAAAAATGAAATTGGAGGCATTCATTGTACAGTTAAGGTAGGAGAATGTCAGGGTTAGGTATTTGGGTACTTAGGGTCTGAGTTAATGTAAGAGGACATTGGGACAATGGTTGGGGCTTACTATCAATCTCTTGTAAACACACGTATGTACAGAAACAAATCCTGCCTGAGCCCTACAGTAAGGAAACAGATAGTACAACAAATGCTAATGTCAGTGATTGATTATGGGAATGCAGTGTATGCACCTGCACTGCACTTCATAAACGTAATACATTGTAAAATGAATTCTGCTGCTTTGTGCTACAATGTAATTACATGACCCACCATTGTGACATGTTAAAAGAGCTAGACTGGCTATCGCTGGAATCCCGATGCACCCTTCATCTTTATGTGTGTTTGTTATTTTCTCTGTGTGTGTGTGTAATATTATATTGTACCCTATTTTAACAGTGCAGTGTTTATGGACCCAGGACATACCTGGAACCAAGATAAATTTCAATGTATCCTTCCTGGTAAAATATTTTCTGAATATATAAGATGGGTAAATATGGATTCCAAGAAGTCATTGGCAGCCATGTTACATTATTCCCTCATACAAAAAGTGGGTATAATCTGACTGACTGATTAAGAAGATTAATCTCCTGACTGATTGATAGCTTTTATTTGTAATTTTATAACATGACAGGAGGCTTCGTATTTGCTTAAGACTTTCTTTACTTAAGCTTCACAGCAGCACTTTTTCACATAGTAACAAGGTAACCAATAAGAAAAAAGGAATAACAAGGTATATAGGTCCCTCCCAGTGATGTCATTTCCTCTTTCTTTGCTGCTTCACACCAGTACAGGTCAGAGTGCCACTGTCTCCTACTTTGTGGGGGATTTTTTTCTGGGATTTATCTTCTATTGTAACTCTCATCTGTTTTATCCATATTAATTTACTATATTAATTTACTATATTATTCACATGTATATTTTTACCCTTTATTCTATTTCTGTTTGATTTACTTTTTTCCCATCTATTATCTTCTATGTGTATTTTCTCACACTTCTTTCCACCTTTATTTTTTAGTTACTGTCCGTTTTATTAGTATTGTATTATTATTGTATTTTGGGTATGGTACCTCTTTAACCCAGTTTTTCTCCGCGCGGCATTTTTGCCGCGTTTTCCCGGGCTTTTGGTCCTTGGAGTACGCCTCCAACGGTCCCCTGTGCGCACGGCGGCCATCTTGGATCTCGCGCTCCCCGCGAGATCCAAACGGCTTCCTCCCCTCACTAGTGCGCACGCGCGAGATCGCGGCGGCCATTTTCTTGGAGCCGCGATCTCCATTCACTCTGGCCGTGCGGCGGCCATTTTTTACATTGCCTAAAGTTAAATAAATATTGTGTACAATATAAACACCTCATATTCATATTTACACCAGAGGGTCCTCTACCTGTTTACTCCTTCTCTGATAAAGAAGGAGTTTGACCCCACATGCAGTCTCTCTTCCCTGTGTCTCTCTCTATTTCCCTCTGGTGGTAAATAATAGGTACTACATATAATTTAGTCCCAATCAATTAATTTACTACCTAAACAATTCTTCTTCCCATATAAACTTTATGATTACTTATCTATACTATGCATGTGCATAAAGTAAACTCATAAACTAAATTATGATTGCTGTTATTATATACAGCCCATGATTGGCCCGCTTTGTCTGTGCCACTATACCTCTATACGGGTTTGAAAAAGTATTCCCTGAGGTGACTTATACTGGGTGACCCCCACTTACAGCTTGCAATCTGAAATGATAACATACTGTGATATCTCGAGACGGCCTTATTAATACATTCTAACACTGGCCTATTCTGCCCCATAGGTACCACTGTTGCTATGGAGGCTTCAAATCAGGATCAAAACTTGCAAGCTATCATAAATGCAGCCGTAGCTGCTTCACTTGAAAAGGCCCTGGCTCGGGTGCTGCCCATTGAGCCAAAAGACCCTAAAATTTCTGACACCCCGCTTTCTGACGAAGAGGCGGAGGATTCCAATTCCACCAAAAGA